AAATGAAGAAAAACATTGCGACAAGAAAACATAAAAACGACAATCAGAGAACAGAGTGTAGTAAGTTACTGTTTATGGATTATGATCTCCAACGCGGAAATTTTACCGGATAATGAACAACAGTTGTGCATATCTCATGTGAGAAACAAATGTTTAATCTGCAAGACCGAATAATCTTAATGCTCTAATGACAATTCGCTCCTGATTTAAAGATTGATGATGAGAAAGGTGGCAACATTTTTGCTTATACTTATCATAAGTTAATACGATGTGTACAATTGAATTCCACCATCTGTTTTATATTTATTTACTTCTGTGTATGTTTGACAAGCATTTTTATACTGAAAGTATTATACTTTTTAAAATTTTGACTACTATATGCTGTTGTATGTGTATTCATATTTATACAAGCTTCGTTTAGTGGGCGAAGGTGGACTTTTTTCCATTTCCTTTTTGTGTTTGCCGCTTTTTCTTGATACAAAGTAATCAATTGTGGGTCCGAAAATCTTTCACAAAACGGATGATAGTGTCGAAAATTGTGATATGCTTTTTTAAGATGATCACGTGCTCGCAGAAGCAGAATCACGATCTGATACACAATGGTGAAGAATGCCACTTTTCGTGAAAGCATGCTACACCTTTTAGTATAGTAGTATATTTTAGTAGCCTAGCGTTTAGCAACGCTTAATCATTCCCAATGTTCGAGAACACCTTGCTGCACTAATCCATTCAATTGCTTTTTCTTAGATTGGAGCACTCAATTATCAGATCACAACATAAACATGCTATTGTACGGTGTTGCAAACATGAATACACAAACTGCCAAAAGTACAATCCAAATATTTATTGCGAAAGTCCTACCGTTAATGTATAAGTTTATAGTGTTAACCGCCTCCTTCATACACTGCTTTTTTAAGGCGCGCGGGGGGTTTATGTATGATATTATACTTCGGTTTGTCTACAAAACTTCCACTCCTTTTATATTTCATATAAATTCGTATACGCTAGAGTAGTTTCACAAAAGTTTCCTTTGAACAGGAATCGAAGGTTCTTCCAGAATTTTCGATTGTTTTACATGACTATGTGGGGCAGTTGTTTGTCAAACAGAATCTGAGGAGCGAAAAATATGACAAAAGATAGCGATGTATTTTTGCTTAGTACGACAGAAGGGAACAACTTTGGAAAGACTGATTCTCACAAACTCCTGGACCTTCTTAGCCATGGTGGCACGACTGCAGGGAGAGAGAATGGTTTCCATTCCTGATTTCTTTTTAAAAATTCCGAATTTGGACCCTAAACTCCTCCAGCTGCAAGCTCTTCGCGTTGTCACTGTTTTATGGGTCACTTAAAATAAATTTGATTTGCACTAAGACAGTCATTTCAGATTGCAGGCATTCTAAGCGTTGACTCTCATAATTCTGAGCCTTTTAATGTTACAATGGAAGTATTTTAAATCTCTGGAAACAAATTTTAAAATTACAAATATAGGGTTGGATTGAAACTAAAAATCAAGTAATTCTCCGCTTCAAAGACACTCTTACCTTCATATTGTATATGTGACGCATTAAGAGCGTCAATAAAATCGATGTTTGTATCTGTTGCTGATAAAATCGGTTTTAAATATTCATCGATAAACGGATTCGATATTTTTGACAGTTTTCTTTTGCTATTTGTCAAATTTATTATTGTTCATAACGACGATGTTTCTGATGAACACTTTTATTTCCAGATAAGATCAATTGTTGTTTTAAGTTTTCAGTTAATAATTTTTCAAGTGGTGTAGTACTTGTTATCTCAGATTCATCAATTAAGTGCAAACTTTGTCGAAAGATATTCGATGTTTCACAGTCAATAGACGACCATCGAACATATCATTGAATTAACCGTTTGGCGTTTTTGCTGAACGCGTTTTCTAACGACGTTAAATAATCGTTGAAACGCGTTTATTTCATATAAAAACGCGTTTTAACGTGTCGTTTCTACACGCGTTTACAAAAAGAAAGAAATTCGAAGTTATATGGTTTCAACGTCGTTAGGAAACGTGTTCAACAAAAACGCCAAAAAAGGGTTAATTCAACGAACGTTAGCAAACGTGTTGTCCAATAAAGCGTTATTCTGAAGTTTTGAACAACAATAAACACGCTTGAACGACGATTTTAATATACATTGTGTGGTTTCTGAGATGTAGGGCCACCAATATCACTTGTAGTTTCATGTAAAAACAGAATTTTTATTTTTTATTGAGCAGTTAGACCACGTTAATAGGTTCCATCAAGACTTTCCGGTTTTTGCTTCTGATTATAGCAGTGGGAGAAAGAAAGGAGTTTTACATTAGTGTTAAGATGAACATATCTGAAAATATCTCTGAGAATAGGCGAATATAAACAATTGCAATTTACATCCATGATCCATATGTCACAAACAATTGTTCAACTTCATGAAGGGAAAGAGAAACAGATCACCGGTTAAGATGATGTGTACGAGAGATGAACGTTTCATGACCTGAAATTCCATTTTGACTGACAGATAAACTTGATATTATTTCGTCATAGTGAAAATACTTTTACATTTTTGCCAGAATTTAGTGTGAAAAGAATTCTTTTGTAAATTACATGAATTTTGTCTTTCATGGATAATTTGGCTACTCGAATGCTTTTTCATCTAACGAATCTCTTCAGATGATTCAATAAATCAAAAAAAAGTACAAATGTTTATTTTAATGATTGTATTAGAATATGAAAGTATACGAATGATGAATAAACAATGAATCTAAGTTATTTTTCTATATTGTGAATAAATGTACTTTTTAAATGTCTGAACATTCTAAGTTTTCTTTCGATAAAGTAAACAATGATTTTTTAACTCTTTCTTGAAAAGTTTATATTCGCCTATTCTCAGAGATATTTTCAGATATGTTCATCTTTACTGTTTTGCAAAATCTTTACAGCAGTAATAACATTCATGGCACGTGTTTAATGAACACATACCCGACTTGTCCTTTCAGAAAGCACATTATGATTACGAGATATTCCAACACAACTTTTTCATAGTGCAGATTTTATAATTTATTTTCGTTTTCAGCTGATTTTTTCCTCAAAATTAGAGACATATACTGTTTCTGGCCATTGATTGTCTTGCAATTATTCTCTTCGTAAGTACTTAAAACCTAACATACTTTCACAAGAACTCCGTTTTTCTACCTCAACACTCAGTATATTTTGACAAGAATTGCACCATCTTTCCTCAAAACTCAGCAGATTTTCAAAAGAACACGGTCTTTTTTCCTCAAACTTAGTATACTTTCACAAGAACTACTCTTCGAAATGAATGAGAATCAAGCATATGATACATCTTGTTCTGCCAGTAAATTCTATTGGGCATGTCGAAATGAGGACGTAGAACGTGTTAAACAAATGCTATAAACTGTTCCTTTTAACGAACTAAATCGTTTATGAACCGCACTGTTTTCTCACAGGCAAGGAAAAATTCTTTCTCACCTTTCTGCTCGTTTCGCTCCTCTCTTGCTTTAGGTGCATTTGTCAGATGAATAGTAAAGTTGGACAAAACCTTTTTCTAGTCCTTACCGATTCTGTCAGACGATTATCTTGTGGATCCCGTTGCATATAAAACGATTTGATTTCAGCTGGAAAACGACAAAATAAAATTGATTCATTTATTTCACCAGTCAATCCACGTTCTGGAGGTTCGGAAATATCCTACAGAACGTGAAGCATTCAAGAAATCATTTTTTATTTTAATCTTTAAGTATTACTCACTTCTCCAAATTTATAATGTTCTTTCGTTTCTCCTTTTTTAATATCGTGCTCTTTATTCGTTTGTAGGCTTTTGTAGACGGTTACATTTCTAGAAAGAGATGTAATTTTTCTGACGCTTTTGCCTAGGAGAAGAAATAAACAGAGGTGGAAAACCTGCCGCAAACTTAAAAAAATTCCATGGACAAAGAATTCGTTTAAAATTTTTCCGAAGTTTTGGAAATGTGCGTTCGTTTGAAATTGATTCAAAGCTAACTCATAATTCCTATTTTTATGAAAAAGATTTCTCTGAACCACAACTGTTATTCATTAAGACTTTCAACGAATAACAGTTGCCGTTCGGAGACGATAAAGTACTGATTTTTCAGACGAAGAAAAGCTTTTTTACACGACCGGCCGGTCAAATTACTACAACCATTCAGTACATCAACGTCGCTAAGTCAATCATAATCAGCATCCATGCGGACTTTTCAAACAACTATCGGGCGATATAACTTAATTCAATATTAGTGGAAAAAATCGGCAAGATCACGATACATATCCTGTTTATTGCGATAATTTCACTATCGAGATCTATAGCCGTACTTCGATATATCATTCTATATACGTTATCGGAATAAGCATCCTACTTATTGCGATAAAAATAGATGTCTCGATACAGCTTGTTAAAATTTTATCACGCTATATTAAGACAGAATTGTTGTGTAGATAAGGCTTTCACTCATCCAGATAAAATATTATTGAAGTAGATTGTGATAAGAGACATAGCTCGGTGTAATGAATCATTGCCTACTACCAAAGAGAGAATGCTTATTACAATAGAAACCCATACCTTGTTTTAATTCAGATACGGATGAGTTACGATACATCTGTGTATATTCTTGATCGCGATAACTGTGCTGTTTATCACACGACGTATACTGTAAAGGGTGGTCCAGAAGTCCTGACTCGATTTGTATTACCAATTCTTTTATATAAAAATAAGTCTTTGAAAAATTGTCTCGATGATAGAAAGTTGGAGTATAACATGCTCTACAAAATAGCCTCTGGTTGACCCTCGCTAACTCTTATTGTAAGAAAGTTATGAGCTTTGAAATGTGCATCATAAAAAATAAAAATTAACCGGGACATTTTAGGACCATGAAAACTTCGTTTTATTCGAAAAAATGTTGTTTTAACGATAAAATGTTTCTTCATCATGAGTGTTACAACTAAAATTATCATAAATCAGTGCTCATAAACTTGATTTCCATCCAGTTGTACCACTTTCGCAAGGCGCTTAGGTACGTTATCTAGCATTGCTTCACATTGATCAGGTGTGATTTTTTGCCATTCTGAATTAATGAAATCAACGAGTAAATCAAGAGTTTGAAACTTCTTTCCTCTTGTTTTTTCCTTCAGGATTCCCCAAATGCTTTTAATGGGCCACACATCTGCAAACGTGGCATCTCCATCATTTGGTTCTATTCTTTCTTCGAAATGATCATAAACAACGTCCATAGCTACTTTCGTTCGATGTTTTGAATCTTGATCATCTTGGAATATGACTTCGTCTAAATTTTTCACCACTTCATTGATTGCTGGAACAGCTTCTTCACGTAAAAATTCAGCATACAAATCACCGATCATGTAGATTCTTTTACGTTTATCAAGCGGGCATTGATCTTGTAACCATTGAGTAAAATTGAAAGGACAACTTTGAGGTATCAAGCCTTTGGTGCTAATAGCTCCCAAAAACATGACACCACTTGGAAATTTTACTACTGATGCTTCTCTTAAATCAGCAGGAATTTCAGATGAATGTTCAGCATAAATGACATCATTTTCATTATTCCGAAAACCTTCGATTGTTAATATTCCAGAAAAATCAGTATTAATAATCTTGTTCCATTGCCATTTCTGACCATTCTTTCTTGGGCCAAATTTTTGAATTAATTTTTTCGCACAACTAACACGTTGCTGTGTGTTTAACGTTGTCAACTTTTGTGCTTTTTTCAATTTAATTGGTTTCAAATTTAATTCCTTAATTGTTCTTTGCACTGATGTTCTTTTACCTTTAATGTTGTGTCGTTGTAATCCAAATACCACTTTTCTTTGACTTTGCCTCTTTTTTAAATGGAGTAACTGTTTCACTTTTTTCTTCGATTGTTCCGTTCGAACGGTTCGTGGTGCACCGCATCTTGATCTGTTTTTGATTGTTCGTCGTTGTAATATTCGATTTATTTTGCTGCGTAACGATGCAATGGAGGCGGATTTTCATAAGTCTGTATTTCATCAGCAATGTTGGGTGCCATCCACGTTGGATTCATTTCCTTCAACGAAAGAAGCATCCCACGGAATTGTTTTTTCAGACTGAACATGTCTGTCATCTTGTTATTCGACGTAGAAAATCTTGTTGGTTACGATATACTTTCTTTACACTGAAGGATGGTATTTATAGGTTCAAGTGGAGATCGAATATATGAAGGAAAAAAGAGATGGATATCATCAAAACAAAGAGAAAGTGATTAAAAAGACCTGGAAAAGATAGTACGAACACAGAAGAAAGAGAATACATAGTGAATACACAGAGATCGAAACATGCTTCGAATACCTAGACTAAATACATTTAGATCCAGGGAATGATCCCGAATGCAATATTACTACGACATAAGCGAAGATGGAACATCGCAAACCCAAAACCGGTATTATGGTGACTTTAAAATAGTGATGCGAGTGCGATGATTGCCCCCGGTTAATTTTTATTTTTTATGATGCACATTTCGAAGCTCATAACTTTCTTACAATAAGAGTTAGCGAGGATCAACCAGAGGCTATTTTGTAGAGCGTGTTATACTCCAACTTTCTATCATCGAGACAATATTTCAAAGAATTGTTTTTATATAAAAAACTGGTGATACAAATCGAGCCAGGACTTCTGGGCCACCCTTTACGCTCATATATCTTCGTAAGTTGTATAGCGCTAAATCAAGATACTTTAAGTGTCGAGACAGTTGCAACATTTATCGAGATTTATATTTATGTCGCAGCTGATTAAGATAATCTTTTTTATTCCAATGTATTCCAATAGTCAGGCGCTTGTAGTCTTACCGCGATAAACACATTGTTAGGATACAGCTTGTCACACTGTTACATCAAGATATTCTGCTTATCCCGTTATTTGACATTTTTATCTCGATAATATCTATGTATCAGGCTTTCTCAAAATAAACTAAACAATAATGAAAAATCATAAAAAGGATAAATATCATTAAAAACAATAAGATCGGCTTAGCTTGATTCAGTTAGAATCGGATATCGAAAACATGTCAAATATTTCTGTTTACTATCGCATGTAAAACACAGTTTATCGACCACGTTTTCTGGACGAATATAACAATAAAGAGTGCCGTCAAAACTTCCATACATTACATCCGAAGTTTCGTAACGCTTTGTCTTTACACACACTTGTAATATCCCCGTGATGACAGCCTGTTTGATGTTTAAATAGAATAAATTGTTGCACTTGACTATTTTTTGAATAAATCCGATGTACAGTTTTCCGATTAGGTCGAACAAGAGCAATTAATCATTGGTTTTAGTGCGGGTTGAAAATATCAATGTTGTAAAACATGTTGATACATGGGCGGGTCGGGAAAAACTTTTAGGGAAGGCAATAAATTTTTTAGAGTAGTGCATACACAAACGTGCTTTCCTTCATAACTTTTGTCCGTGCTAACACACTTTTTCCTTCATTTAAACTGTATATCAAATTTTTCGATCAGCAATTGCTCTTTCTTTATTTTGAACTTCGGACAGATACTCTGCTACGAAACAAAATTCTTCACAGGGCAATAGCTGCTTATTAACCCTTGACATCTTTTTCCAGGAGGGGCATTGCCCCCATTTGCCCTGCTAGTGGTCCGCCAATGTATTGCTGCAACGTACAAAATATCGTATACTTGCAAATCTTCCTTTTTCTATTCTCATTTCTGAATCTGTTGAACGTGCTTTTCTTCGAACTTGAATTAAACTCGACGATGTATTTGTCGATATGTTACCCAGCCTGTTTTCTCATGAGTTGAGCCAGCTCATGAGAAAACATCTTCAGATGATCGTATTTGTTTCCAGTTATATTATGCCTATCGACACAGGATATAGTTTTACGCAAAAGCTAAAGAGATTTTAATTTTAATTGTTTATTTCAAAAGTTATCAATCTTTTTCTTTCATGAAAGAAAAAGACTGAAAAATATCAATATTATACCGGCAATCTGGTCAACTGCAAAACTACCGACTAATATGCAAATACAAGCGTCTATCAAGATTATTGTTAAGGAACTGTCAGAACTAGAAAGAGGATATAATTTTTTCATTCCAGAATTGAATGAAATTAAAAAGCTACATTTCTTCACTATTATTTCCAACAACGACAAACCAGCTACGGCGAAGATGGCAAATACTAAAACTTTTCTTGCAACCTATGGATGTGGGGTATGTTACACACCAGGGGATTTATTTAAATTATCTACGATGAAGAAAATAAGTAATTATCAGTATCATCCCATTTTTTTTGCAAAATCAAATTCATTAGTTCTTTCCCAACACCCCAATACAGAGATATTTTAGCGGGAGTTGACAAAACTGGCTATCTGGTTGTTTTAAAACAGATATTTCCTTCAAACATATTCTAGTAAATATATTGTGAAAAGAAAGGCCGTAAAGCTAAAAGTTTATTTTTCTTCTAAACTGTTGTTTTTTGTCTTAGTTGGCCGTTCAAAGATACCACAAATAAGGAAAAAACAGCCTCCCATACGCGTTTACCCATACGAAGACAGCATTGTTTTAAGAACAAACGAACTTCATGACAAATATGTAAAACAGATATTGGATAATGATCTTGATAGTAAAAAGGGACATGTAGGTATGAAAATTTTTACTTTTTGCAAGGCAGCACTCCGCATACGAACACAAGCAAAAAAAACATTTTCGATTTCTGTTGTAGGCTATTGTGAGTTTAGAAATTTACGTTATTTCGATGTCGGAAAATCATTCCTAATTGACGATCTCCATGCTGTTTACGAAGGCGTCACAAAGGTCTGACATGTTTATCTCTGAAGTAAAGCTATTAGTTTAATTTTTTTTTGTATTGTGCAGAAACTGTTAACACTTTGGTTAGATTCGAAATATCGCCATGACGCTTGGTATATTGGTAAGGACATAGATAAACTGGAAAAATTATTGAAAAATTTACAAATGCCGTCAACAACATCTCGTGTCCCGCGTTCTGTTAAAAAATATTTGAAATTCAAAGGCAGTGAATACAAGGCCATTCTTCATTTTGGGTTTACAGCCTTCCAGAATATACTCCCTCACAAATATTATGAACATATGTTGAAATTAGTATGTGCAATTAATATAGCAAATGCTGATTATACTCCTGATCATGTGTATCTATCTGAAATAGAATGTGTTCGACGTTTATTGAATGACTTTTATCGTGAAGCCCAAAAATTATACGGTATTCGTCATATGAACAGTGAGTATTCATCGATTAATTATACAGTCAATTTGGAGGGGTTATACGTTATGTTATTAGCTTTTGTATCTGAAACATAAATTAAAAAAAATTGATATAATATTTGAATATTATAGGTAACATACACAGTCTTTGCCATATCCATCTCTCAATGAAACAACATGCACCGTTAAATGATTATTCAACTTTTTTCTTTGAAAACATGAATAAAACTTTAAAATCGATGGCTCATGGAACAACTCA